CATAGTGGGATGAGTACATTTTTCAGTGCTATCAGAGGAGTGATGGCTGTGGGAAAATTTCGCTTACTGAGAGGCTTTTCTGGCAGTGTAGTGGTTAGAGATGTCGTGAGATTGTCCCCTTATCTTTGCTTATCAATTGATAAAATTGCTTGTCACCCGTCATCAATGTCGCTATCACCAAAACTCCATAATTTCGCGTAGAGGCTCCAACATTTGATTGAACAACGACTGCATCTTTCTCTATCAGGCCTTATCAGCTGTTATCATCTTTTCTGTCACCCGCCGTCGCCTTCTCCTATCATTTGCTGAAATCAACGCCTATGATGCTGTGTCCCGCGTTATGAGTATGTTGTCCTTTCCACTCTAATTCCCCTTATCAGCAGCTAGCAGTTCTTGTCACCCACATATTCCTGTGCCGTAACCTATATCAAACCTTAGAACAAACGCCCCGCAGTATTCCAGTCAGACCACCTCCTCTGCTTCCTTCCCTTGCGCATGCTCAGATGGGGCTGAGCACGCGCAGGGGAAGGAAGCAGAGGGGGGGGCACTGGGCGTCCCCCCCCCCCATCGGCCCCACCCCACCCTGCCCCCGCACGAGCACACGTCCAGCTGCCACGCCAGCAGCTCGTGCAATGGCTCGGAGCCTACCGAATGGTTGTCTATATTTAGCGGAGTCGCCGATATCACGATTCAAAACATTGGATTGATACTTCCGCACCAATCGATTTCCGGTTTGCCTAGCGGTCGTTTTCTCCTTCAGCGAACTCGAACCCGTGAAGCATTTTGCGGACGGACAGACATACATACATACATACATACAAACCGACACACAAAGTTACTGGTTTATAGAATAGAAGGATAGTGGGATGAGTACATTTTTCAGTGCTATCAGAGGAGTGATGGCTGTGGGAAAATTTCGCTTACTGAGAGGCTTTTTGGCAGTGTAGTGGTTAGAGATGTCGTGAGATTGTCCCCTTATCTTTGCTTATCAATTGATAAAATTGCTTGTCCGTTCATTTATATTATTTATTTATTTTATTGTGGACGCCTCGTGGACAACTGCGCAACATTATTGATTACTCAATCACAATCGGCAAGTACATCAATTGAAGTAAGACAAATCCCATAAATTGAGAGAACTTAGGAGACCTCTGAATTAACTAGCCTGGTGGCCCTTATACGAAAGGCTCCAGGTGTCATTTGGAAAATATCTGGGCCAAAAATTTTGTTCAATAAGTGAAGCACCCTGATCCACAAAGAATTATAGACCTTGACTTTGGCGTTCTCGAAACAGGAAGCCCTGATCTTGATAGTGCTCCCTCTACTCCTAGAGGTGACTAATGTAAAGAATTCATCCGATTTGACCATTGCTCTACCAGTGAGGATCTTGAAAGCCATCATGAGGTCATTGATTAATCTTCTATTAAGTAGACTGGGTAGCCCGTAAAGACGCCGTCTTTCTACTGCACTTGGGAGAGAATCATAACTTATTCCGGAACATCGCAGCGCAAGTTTACGAGTAAAGCTATTCTGGACACTTTCCAAGAGCTTAATATCCTTCTTTTTATATGGCGAGAATACTGAAGTTCCATGTTCCACTACAGGTCTAACATAGGATTTATAGGCCTGCAGCAATATCTTGGGATTTTTTGAATTCAGTGCCTTTTGGAACGAGAGTATAAATTCTGTTTAGCTCTGGAAACCAAATGTCTTGATAATGTGGATTTCAACATTCCAAGTTTGTTGGAGAAGATGAAACCTAGATCCTTTATCTCTTGAACTGACTCTAAAGTTACTGTTCCAATTTTGTAGCTACAACTGAAACGTTCACTACCGATTCTTAAAACTTTGGTTTTATCGGGAGCTAAGGGTAATCCCCAATTCTCGGACCAACATACAATATGATCAATAGCTCTCTGCAGGTCCTCGCAGTCAGACGCACTTTCCATAACTTTGTACAGTTTGATATCATCGGCATACATTAAGCATTTGACCCCAAATCTGGACAAGGAGGCAGGGAGGCAGGCCGTGTAAGCAATAAACAGTAAAGGTGATAACACTCCACCCTGAGGGACGCCACTAGTGATCGAATACTTTGAAGAATACTTTGAAGAAAAGCTATCTCCAATTCGCACTTGGTACGTACGATTGCAAAGGAACGATTCAATCCAGCGTACTATGAGTGGATAAATCCCGAGCGATTCTAACTTAGCAGTGAGTTTGCGGTGTGGTACCCGATCGAAAGCTTTTGCGAAGTCAAAATATACCACGTGTACAGGCTTTCTGCTATCAAGTGCGTTAGTCCAGTCGTTGAAAGAAGTAAGTAATGCGGTTTCTGTTGATTTACCCGTTGAGAAACCGTGCTGATTTATGGGAATAAGACTGTTTCGGTTCAAATAAGTAGTCACTTTTCCTTTTGACAATTTTTTCAAAAAGTCGTGCAAAAACAGAAGTAACACTTATGGGCCGATAGTTGGAAGGATTGCTGAAGGGAGGCTTTTTCGGAACTGGAACAATGAAAGAGTGTCTCCACCTTGATGGGACCTCCGATCTCATATATGACAAATTAAAGAGTAGTTCCAAAGGTAAAGCAAGACAATGCGCAGTCCTTTTGATGAGATGAAGGGGAATAAAGTCAGGTGTTACCGAATGGGAGTTAGGCCATTTTGAAAGCAAGTCGAAAATCTCATCTCTGTGAAACCATAGATCTGGACCCATAGTAGATCCACAGGGGGGGACCTTATGAGAGAATACATCGTCTTCTTTCGCGAAAATTCCTTGGAAATGTTCTTTGTCAATATCTTTTCCGGGCCTTTTTTCTTCATACAAGTTTATGACAATTTTTTGAACTGAACTGGTACGCAAGGCAGTGAAATTTTTTTCTTGGGTTCATTGAGGCGTTTATTAATGTATGTGAATAACTTTGTGGAGTCCCCTGACTCGACAACCTTCTTTTCCAAATAGGCATTATATCTAAGCAACCGCTTATTGAGTCTGCTGTCCAAAATCTTATGAATTTTACTCACATGCGGTCACGTACCCAGCTACGCAGAGGACAATTTTCCTGCCCGCTGAACTTATACAGTCTTTTCAAAGGTACCGAGCGAAGTTTTTTTTTTTTGTACCTTGCGATTCTGGTCTTTCGAAGAGGAGCAAACATATCCATAGTATAATGAAGTATTGAAATGAACAACTCGTATTTCTCCTCTAATGAGTCCGCAGTAGCGAAGGAACCGATCCAGTCAATATTGCTCAGGTATCTTTCAATTGCCGCGTAATTAGCCTCGTTGAAATCTCTCACCCATCTCTCGGAAGCAGCTGAATTGGGGCTAAGGTCAAACTTTGAAATCAACTGAGGCATGGTCGCTGTTGCCGATTGGGGGGATCACTTCCACATCTCTAACTAACTGAGCATCATTGCAAAGAATTAAGTCTAGCCAGGAGGAACCCCTTGTGGGCACACGCGTTACTTCAACAAACTGTACAAAGTTGGGTTGTGGCGAAATAATCAACAAAATTTTCTTTAGAGGTACTTGTCACCCGTCATCAATGTCGCTATCACCAAAACTCCATAATTTCGCGTAGAGGCTCCAACATTTGATTGAACAACGACTGCATCTTTCTCTATCAGGCCTTATCAGCTGTTATCATTTCCTGTCACCCGCCGTCGCCTTCTCCTATCATTTGCTGAAATCAACCCCTATGATGCTGTGTCCCGCGTTATGAGTATGTTGTCCTTTCCACTCTAATTCCCCTTATCAGCAGCTAGCAGTTCTTGTCACCCACATATTCCTGTGCCGTAACCTATATCATACCTTAGAACAAACGCCCCAGTATTCCAGTCAGACCACCTCCTCTGCTTCCTTCCCTTGCGCATGCTCAGATGGGGCTGAGCACGCGCAGGGGAAGGAAGCAGAGGGGGGGGGCACTGGGCGTCCCCCCCATCGGCCCCACCCCACCCTGCCCCCGCACGAGCACACGTCCAGCTGCCACGCCAGCAGCTCGTGCAATGGCTCGGAGCCTACCGAATGGTTGTCTTATATAGCGGAGGCCGATATCACGATCAAAACATTGCATTGATACTTCCGCACCAATCGATTTCCGGTTTGCCTAGCGGTCGTTTTCTCCTCCAGCGAACTCGAACCCGTGAAGCATTTTGCGGACGGACAGACATACATACATACATACATACAAACCGACACACAAAGTTACTGGTTTATAGAATAGAAGGATCTTCACTTTGAAGTCTGCGACATTTTTTCACAAATCGGACACTTTTTCGAAACCAAAATCGGACACCATCATTCAACAAGATTCGGATCACTTTTTCGAACCAATTGTACACTTTTCATTTCAAATCGGCAGACCCCTTTACCAATACTGCAGTGATAACTGCCGGTCACACTAGTATGCTGCAATCCCGCCCCAAACATCCGCCGCCACTTTTCAGCGCCCGTGCACAGCTTTCCAAAAATATTTTAATGAAAATCTGCTTCCTCGATTGTTTTCACTTTTTGCTAGTTGCACCCACACTTCAACTGAAAAGGACTGGTACCGATACAGATCTGACTCCGCCCACTTCTCAATGAATTATCGTAAGTTTTGACTTTATAACTTTTTTCGACGTTGTTCTTTTCACATTCAATTTTAACAAAACGAATATACTAATAGCCATAGTGCATTTACACGCCAGTACATTAAAGACACATGGTACGCTCATACACATTGAGGGTGTATGAGACTATCAGCCCCCCAGATGTCGATGTGTCGTGGTCCCCCCGCCCAAACATGCCCAGGAATGGAGATACAGGGCCGTGCTAATTCTTCCATGCTCCGCCCACTGCCTTTTTACGGCGCAGATTCCCGCCGTTCTGAACATCCGTCGTAAGCGCGCCTGTCGCGTGCGGCTCCTTGGCACTTTGCCAAGTCCTTTAATTGCGCTCTCAAATACAAGTAAAACGCAATTTCCTGATGCGGATAACATTGGAGGTGCTACAAAATAAGAGCAGAAGATGATGACGAGGGTCAGAACTTGAAAGCAACTGTGCCACTTCTGCAACATCCCTCGGAGGCCGCGTATGTTCACGAAACATGAAAATAAAAAGGGCATACTTGTTAGTTTGATACAAACGCAATTTCCTGATGCGAATAAAATTCTAGGTGTTGCTCATGCTTCAAAATCCATGTACAAGGAGATGAAGATGACACAGGCTAGAAATGAAGCACCACGATGTAAATGTAAACAAAACAAAAATGAAAAAATCAAGGAAAGGCAAATTAGATAAACTGGCCTGTAAATTTCTACGATCCGGCGCCAAAGCCATAGAAATACTTAGAGCAAACGAGTGGGACGCTTGGGCTGTTTTTATTTTCATGCTTTGTGGGAATGCGCGGCCCTTGATGGATACTGCAAATGCAGCCGAGTTGCTCTTGAGTTCTGCCCCTTGTCATCATCTTCTGCTCTTATTTTGTAGCACCTCCAATGTTATCCGCATCAGGAAATTGCGTTTTCCTTGTATTTGAGAGCGCAATTAAAGGACTTGGCAAAGTGCCAAGGAGCCGCACGCGACAGGCGCGCTTACGACGGATGTTCAGAACGGCGGGAATCTGCGCCGTAAAAAGGCAGTGGGCGGAGCATGGAAGAATTAGCGTTGATTTCACGTCCCTGTTATTCTCCATTCGTCTGGGCATGTTTGGGCGGGGGGGACCACGACACATCGACATCTGGGGGGCTGATAGTCTCATACACCCTACAATGTGTATGAGCGTACTATGTGTCTTTAAGCCAGCCCCTCTCGGCCACGCCCACTTATCGTGGATTTTATTTTCCTAATCGATTTTCACTTTTTCAGACACTTTTTTAGACGCTTTTTCAGCAAGTGACTGCACACCACTAGCTCATGCTCCGCCCACTTTTGGGAAGTGATGCAGATCGACAGCCATAGCTCCTCGTTACTTTACACGTCATGGAACTCTCCTCGTCCTCACAAAACGAGAAAGATGCGTAACTGTCATTTTGAGTGATCGCGAGACGGCCAAAACCGTCCCAGTACGGCTTTAGCCTGACCGATCTTACCAGTCATCTTATCCACAAGTGGCGAGTCTCCAGGAAAGTTGGCGCGGGAGTTCTATTAGCGAGCGGAGTCACTTGCTATCCAGGCTAAAAAAGGCGAGGTTTTGATAAAAAAAATGAAATTCACGAAAAACACAAAAGTGCGGAGACGAGGCGTGGCTGGAGGGGCAGGGCTTAGTGCGCTAGTGTATAAATGCATTATGGCTATTAGTGTTGCTGTTCTCAATGAATTCATTTTGTGAAGATTGAATGTGAAAAGAACAACGTCGAAAAGTCTTAAACTCAATAATATGCCGGCTACATTAATTTGAGAAGTGGGCGGAAGCCAAACCTGTGCAGTTACCCGATCACCTCTCAGTTTAAGTGTGCCGCTGCAGCTAGGAAAAGTGAATAAGGTCGTAGGAGCAGATTTCATAAGGCATTTTGGGAAACTGTGACCGCGTTGAGAAGTGGGCGGGGTTGTTGGGGCGGGGCTGGAAGAAGTACCTAGTGTGGTCTAGTTATCAACTGCACATTGTTAAGGGAATGTGTCGATCTTGCCGGTTTTGAAAAGTGTCCGATTTGAAGTGAAAATGGTATAGATTGCCCACTCCAAAGACTTCTTTCACTTTTAGGCGTTTCATTACTGCTGAGAACGCTTAGTAAGGGAGTATGAAAAATGTGCAACTAGCCCTTGCAAGTAGCCCGACACGACACTGCAGAGTTGGATCCTTTCCCACGCCCCCACCCCACCCCCCCCTCGGGATACGGCGCTTATTCCTATGTGCCAGAAAAGAAGGATGTCCAGAGCTCTCCTCAACTAAATATTCTGTAGGTTCTTTGAAAAAGAATTGTTGTCAGAATTATGAGTGCGGCCCGAATCCCGCGCGATGGTTTTTCTGAGTGTTCTCTGCGATGATCTGTCCTTTTTCGAGGTCCATTAATGAAGTTCCACTTGCCATAGCCTAGAAGAGGCAAGAAGTCATAATGATGAGAAGTTTCACCGAACAAAAATGAGATGCAGCCGGAAAATATATGGGCGGAACTATCATTTTGCTGCATTGCGAGAACTGCCATTTTTCAACAAATTGAGGAAAAATGGCATGCGAATTGGTACTTCGCCTTTTTTTGTATGGGGGCATATTTGAAAACGTCGTGTAAGACGGGATTTTGTGATATTCAAGGGTGGACTATGACTATGCTTCGCAGTGTATATTTCGTTCTTGAAGTCTGAAGATCATATGTCGACAACCCTGAAGTATGCTCGAGATCTGACATCCTACTGATTCTGATTTCTGGCATACTCATTCTTTCCAGAAGTGACCATATCCACAGCCAAATTCATAATATTTACTCGGTGGTCATTGTGATTGAAATTATCTTGCAATTGTCTTCTAACTGTCTCACTTTACGGGTCTCACAGCATGATACCCAAGGATCATAAACGCTTACAGGGTTTCAGGCCGGCACGGCCGCACACTTGTGAACAGCTCCTAATTCAGGTACAAGGCAGTCAAGGGTGCCATGAAGTCCAGCTTTTCTCTTCATTAAACCTCGGCATTCTCATAAACTTTGCAGCTTTGATTTATTGAGCCAAAGAGGATGTTAGGTAGAGAGTTTTATTGAAATTGGCCTGACGTTCCGACAGCATGGTCGTCCTTAGAGAACAGTACATCGCCGGAGAAGCGGGACAATGCCACTCGTTGTCAGTGGTAGTTAATAAGTCTGACAACAACTAACAACTTCACAGTGGTCGCAGAATGAATTTCGAGAGAAATGATGGGCTGCTCATCTATCAGGGAGTCCTCACTCCCTGGAAGAGCTCATCCCCGCTCGTAACACCACGGACTTTTTGCACCTTACAAAACTTGACCGCGGCAGTCGTCCTTTTCACTGCACGCTCGCCCTTCGCACCAGGACCCTCTCGAAAATTGCGACTGTCGCGTAAACTCAACCTTTTTCGGTCTTGTGCGCTCTCTTGGGATTTTCTGTCCACGTCTTTAATTTACTTTACTTTTCTAATTCAATAATTTACTGTCCACAGTACATACAGAAACTTTGGCACAATTTCATCGAGCAGGTCGATCCTTTTCTGCTCTTCTTTATGCTCTCGGCTCTCGTGTAGAGAATTTTTGCGATTCGCATAGTCCAGCTTTTCACATAGGATACGCGGCTCGCCCACACTGGAGTTTATTCCATATAGGAATCGCACTACTTTTCCAGTGGGCAGCTCTGTTCTATGTATAGGTGAGACATGGGTCCACTTTAACATTTAGCCATAGAAGGACTAGCCTTGAGACTGGGTCCTTTCAAATAAGTTACGACCGGGCATTCCCTGGGAATCGAACACCGGCGAGAAGAGAATGCTATTGGTAAC